TGAGCAGGCACCTATGGACAGCTATGTGCATGACCTAGGACTTGTCGTGTCTCCTGTGCAAAACAGCCAGACTCTAAGTCACAACATTGTTGCTATTGATTTGTATTGATCCAATGGACTTACAAACAAGCCTCTAAAGCCGCCCGTTTTTGTTGATTCTCTGCAGTGCAGGTTGGCTGCATCAACCTGTCTAATTTAATTACACAAAAAACTGCTTGCTGCCAGCTCCATCAAGGTGTTTGATCCCGACGCTTCACAAACCGGACATGGCGGCCGCCAGGACTGCAACACAATTTCCGGTCGGAATCACCACATGGTGAGTCAAGAAATCTCCATGGACTTGATGATGGACTCGAATCCTCCACAGTTGCCCTGGGCATATGCATATGCATAAGTTGGTTTAGCGGAAGCAACAATGAAGATAAAGGTGGCATAGGCAATGCTAGCGGGTCCACGACAATGACGTCATCAGATCTTGCACCTGATAACGCGGTCTGATCAATCTCTGAGGGATTCTCAACTTTCCAGCCGATAGACTTCAAGAGTCGCAGAAGAAGCGAAAGCAAGTCCACCATCAAAGCTAGCAGGCAGAGAGGAATCATTATCCCATTGAATGAAGTGGACATTGCATTGCATGATGCACAAAACAGTCAATAATATACAAATTGCAATCCTCAGCATCCATCTTTGTCCATGCAAAGTATGATTGTCTCATTTGGTGTCATCCTTTGAGCCATTTTTGCATGAAATTCAACGCAAAACCGCTGATGGTAATGCGCCCTGCGTGACACAGGAGTAGTCTGCTCTATTTGCAAGGTTTGACTTGAAACAATTCAAGAGCTTGGAATTCTTGATAGATGGCCTTGTGCTATTTAATGTCAACACCAAAAACAAGAACATATGGTTTTTCCTGAAGGCCGATGTGGCCATTGACCCTGCCTCAGCTGTTTTCAGGGCTGGTGCTGCTTCAAAACCATTGTCCTGAAACCACTCACTTCTACATTCTGCACAGTTTCAAAATCTCCACAACAACGGACACTGGGGTGCACGGAAGTGGGACGGTGCGTCAGTTTGGGTGTTGTTATTTGTTGTTGGTTTGCTGACCTAGGACTTGTCACCCCTCTTTGCAACATAGCCCTTGGTCTTGTCGGAGCAAAGTTCAAGACCCATGACTGTAGACTAGATGACTCAGGACTCCGTAAGCCGCAGTCCTCACCATTTTGTGCACAAGGCGCCTGCCCATAACCAGCTTCAAAAGATAAATTCAATTTCTCCCAAACATGAGATTGCTTCAATCATCCGCCTCTCCAGCCGCAACTGCTGATTGAGCGCAATTCTCCTTGAATGGTTCATGGGGGACCCAGGGGACTACTCTGTTTAATGTCTTTCTGTGTTTCTTTCCTTTTCTTTCTTGCTGTAGTACATAAATCGAGCAGCCCCTTATGTCCTTGTCATCATTCCAAGGCAAACGGCGGCGCTTCTGTGGCCGACCCTCTCCAGCAAAATGCTGAAGTTCCTGACAAAGATATAATGCACTCTCCTTCACACATGCAACTGGATGTCTCAGGACTAGTCTGATTATATGTTTCAACCTGACACCTGAGGAACCCATGCCACCGGCCTGTGAAGCCACAACTGCTGCCGCATCAGCGCAATTCTCCTGAAAGGATAGCTCACACGGGCCGACAAAGCCTCATACATGCTGCTTGCCTTCGATTTTAGGTTTATGGTTGTTTTTCCATGCATCAAGCAATCCTTTGCGTCCTTAGATGTGGGTGCTGAGAGGAGAGGGGCCAGGTGCAGCTGACCCTTTCCAGCAAAATGCTGAAGCTCCTGGCGGGGATGTCGTGCATCCTCCTGCCTCCATGCTTGCACCTGGATGTCTTAGGACTAGTCTGCTTGTATGATTGAAATGTCTCCTCAAGACATCCGCTCTGAATGTGTATGGCTGCATTGCACGTATATTGCATAAACATCTACACACATGTATATAATGGTCATCTGTCCTCATCCTCAAATGTTGGTGCTTCGGACGGAGGGGGTAGTGGTGGATCTTCATCACGCTGCTCCTGACAGAGATGTGCTGCATCCTGCCTATCTGCTTGCGCCTAGATGTCTTAGGACTTGTTTGCCTTTTTGTTTCAACTGTCAGTTGCCCGGTTGCCATGACATGGCGTTCACCAAAAAAAAAGACTACAAACATATTTCCTCCCAATTGCACAAGCCTCTTCCTCCTTCTGCATTAGATGCCAAAGCCTTTTGCCAAAGGCTACATCTGGATCTTCACGTTCAGCAGCCTGTCCAGCAATGAGCACCCAGCATAAAAGAGCTGGGTTGGAAATAGCTCTTGTTGAGAATCGTTACAAATCATCGTGGTAGCCGATGACTTGGGACCACACTACTGTAGTGAGATTGCAGGTATGAACGGGAGAGGTGCGGCATTAACAGGTGCCAAGGTTGAAAAGGCAACATGTTTCCTTTCTTGAATAAATACTTGACCCTGCCTGGGCTGCATCCAGGGTATGTGGTGCTCCAGTAAGGTTCTCCTCCAATGACTCACTTGCCAGCCGGCTCATGCTGACAAAAAGGCACATGCATGGGAAATAGTCCTATCTCATCTGAGCCTAGTATATGTATAGATGTAGGGATTAGCTGTAAGAGTGTAAAGCCCTAGGGCATAGGGCCACTGGAACTCCCAAAAGATGCTGGACGTGGATGTCTTGGGACTTGGGTGCCTGGGAAGTTGTTGGGTCCTTTTGTGCAGCTGGCGGTAGAACCAGTGGCGGCATTGGAAAGTCCTGGTGGCAATGGCAACAGAGTCCGGGTGCAACAACTATCCAAATGGCAGTGGGTCCTGTATGTGCTTTTCCAGTCTTTCCAAAGGCGACGATGGCAATGAACGCGGTGTTCTCGGAGTTTCCTGCAAGGCTGTGGGTTGATAGGGGCATGCAGGGAGTATGTCATACCCATGGCCTGTCCATGCTCTTGCACATCTTCCCCAATTGCTGATGCATGGCTGGAAGCTCCCACACTGGATCCTCCGATGGAGGGAAGCTCCTAGGATCAGATTGATTTCACATCAGTTGTGAACACCTTGGTAGCAAAAACTCTTGGTCTCGGACCTTCAAAGTCCTTTGCCGTCCACGCCCGCGGCCCACATCAGGGGTCTTGCCCCTGCATCGCCGCCGTGGTCTCTCCATCTTCACAAAGAAACCTTTCAGTCAGAGCCAAATGGCTACTTTTCAAGGCAATGATCCGGGGTGGTCCCGTCTTCTCATCAGGCATTGAGTGCACAAACCGCCAAACCATCATTTTCACTATTGGGTGATGAGTCAGGATTTGCAAGGATAGCATAGCTAGTCCTCTCTCATCACATTAACAGAGTGTTTTCTCATCTAGTCCTATCTCATCCTATGTCCAAGATGTTTTGTCCTTGCTCAGCTGGCCTTCCTTGATGATCCCATCAGGCCCTTCAAAACCATGTTTCCCCATATGTTTACGCATGATGACATAGGATCTCGTGCACCCTTTAAAAAAAAAAAAAAAAACATTTGGACCAATGACTTGGGATCTGGTTTTTTGCACGTATGTTTTACAAATCCTAATTCATCTGCACCTAGTATAACATGATCCGTTCTCCCTGACCTGGTGCCGCTCGACTGACGTTACTGGATTAATCCGGTGAAACAAGGGCCTTCTTTGATGTCAACAAGCCAGAAATCAAGTGGGGTCCCACTTTTTGAGGTGCAACATGACCCCCATCATGCGTGTATGTCCAAATATGTTCAACGATGGTGCCTTGCACCACATGGATTGTATGCCGGTCCTTGGCGTCTCATGTTTGAGGCGTCTCACGTTGACATTGTGAATCTGACGTCGTACCGACGTGGCAGCATAAAGGGTCGCAACCATATATATCCCAGTGCATCCCAGGCAAACCACTCGTAGTAAGGAACCAGGGATTCGGAACCGGTCGGTTTTAGTCGAAGTGGAACCAACTGGTTACCAGCTATAGTGGTTTGCCTGGATTCCCTGGGTATTGTAAGCAGTATATGCATGCAACTATGGCAAATGTTGGATTTGGCCCTTCAAAACCGAACCTCTAGCAACCTTTAACACACCGAACGTTCGTTGCTGCTACTGTTGCACTGTTGCATCGGTCGTTCCTGTTTCCGCTTCCAAGATCTTCCAAGTCCATGAAAGCTGGACCGAACTATAGGCCGAGTTCTCCAAAACTTAAAAAAACATGTGAGTTTTCTCCAATACAGCCTGAAATCGTGTCGACCCACTGCAGAAATGAAAGAAACACCTGACGCCGCCCCGCCCGCGACGCCGGAACCACGCCCCCCCCGTCCTCGCCGCCCCGGTCCACGCCACACCTCCGGACTCGAGCTCGGAGACCGCTTCAAGGAGCTCGACCTCCTTCGTGCCTTGGAGGTCGCCCAGTGTAGGAACAACCCATTGCCGGACAGGTCGCGACAGGAGGTCGCCCCAACTGGGCGCGGCTTGCGGCAAGCGATAGGCTTGCTAATACCTTGCCGGGAATCATACCCATACATGCCATACACGACTACAGTAATGGGACTGCCATAGGACTGCCTATCAGTTGGGGTGGTGCCAGGGGGGTCAATGGGGCGGCATATATTATCAGTCCCATGGAGTGTCTGGGATAGGGACTAGAAGATGGGCCGATCTTCACCGGATGGTCGATGCTATAGCGTCCGATCTGGTTCCGTTCGTAGAAAGGCCAAGAGCCCCAAACATATATAGTATCGTTCGGGTTCAGTTCGTAGCGGTGCCCTTTGCTCCGTTCGTCGTGTCCTTGCTCCATTCGGCAAATATGCATGCATGGATGGTCCGGGGTCCGCGGGATCTATTCTTTCCGACCTTTTTTGCTGACTAGCTAGGACCTTACTATAGGGCAGTGGCTCAGTGCCTGTCCAACACACATGTACAGGGTGCACAACGTGTATGTCTCTCATCGTTTTCAAACACACACTGGGAAAGCTGAGGAGAGAAAAACAATCCCCAGCTGTCTCTACCAGCAGTCCACGTTCGACACGGTGCCCTTACACGCGGAGGAAGTCGGAGTGAGTACAGGGCGCCTTGTTGGGCGCACGCGCCCGAGAAGGAACGAAGCAAACGCTGTGACCAGCACCGGAGACCGCCCCAGAGCGCGCCCGCCCCGCTCGGCGCCCGCCGCGCGAGCCGCGCGCGAGCTCGGCCACGGCACGTCGCGACCTGGACTTCACCTCGTCCGACTCCTCCGTGGGGGGCGGTCCACCGGTGGGGACGGAGCCCGAAGCAAACAAACCTGGACCTTTAAGGGGTGTTCTGTCTGGAGGTCCCTTAGTAGTGTAGGGGCTTCCATTGGTGACCCCTTTGAAGGTGCTGGAACAAGCAAGAATGGTGCTGCTAGGAAGAAGAAGCTTCTAGCTAGAAACTCCTGGCATCGCAACTCGAACCGTTCGCGATCGGACGCTACGAACAGGGGGCTCCTGGCCGTACGAACGGAACAAGAAGCTAGTCATGCCCTTTGATTACGTAGCGATGCCCGGAGCTCTAGTAGCGTCCGATCGCCGGCGTCGCGATGGGCGGACCTTTGAAAAGGGGTGCCTTGTCTGGAGATCCGGTGTGGAAGGTGCTTTTTGATGCGAAACGGTACACGTCATTTACGGGGGCGCTGATGGATCCCTATATATGGTCCCAAAATAGGCGGTATATGTTGGGTCTATCCTAATACCTGTAACGGTGGATGATGATGGTTAGTAAAGGCCTTGTTCAAAAATATAGGTAATTGTTTACTGACTGTTGCAGGCAATAGGACAGACTCAAGGTATATATGTCATTGTGTATGTCATGGTAATTCACAAACGTCGATCTTGCCATCGCCAAGGGACACAACGTTCGAGTGGGTCTTTCACATCCGGCTTTTCATGTCTTCGGTCCGTCTCACAATTCCCAGGGAAGTTCGACGAGCCCAGCTTAAGCCTCTCGCTTGGGTCACCGAATTCTTTTCACTGCCACGATGTCCATGTGTTGGACTGTTCTTCTCAGGTCCGGTGTTCGAGAAAGTGCCAACTGAAAAGAAAGATCAAACACAAAGCAGATACCCAATGAAAAAGAGCATCTCGAACTCCTCCGCAGGCGCCCTCAGATCGACTCCTGCTGCCCACCGTGTTTTCACACCACGTCTGCGTGTCGGCGTCCGGCGCTGCCTCGGCTTCGGGCTTCTCGGCGGTCCATGGCCTCAACTTGGAGAGCACGGCCGCTTGCTTCACATCGAGATCACAGGTACCATCCTGGCGCCGGATAAGCGAAGGTGCGCCTTCTGGTGCACACCGGGCCTTCTGCCGGTCGTGCTGGCACCGGTCGTGTGCACGTTCTGCGTTTTCAACGACGTGAACCCGGGTTCGCGCGTAACACCGGACGTGCCGGGTGTAAGATGCTGTAAGACCATGCGCACGGGCCAACGACGGCGGGAGTTTTCAGACCCTTTTCCGCCTCATCCGAACGAAACTCGAGTCGCGAGTCGAGGCACGAGGCCATTCATCGCAGAGATTCGAACCTGGTTCTTCGGTCGACCCAACTTTGAGGTCTTGACGGCCTATAAGTTCGGTCCCTGGTCACCAAATCCTCGGTCACGACGCCCCTCCGGTCCGTTCACGGGATTGGTGAGAAATTCCCCCTATCGCTATCACCCCTCTAGATGACAGGGTATGACAGGGTCCGACCCCTCCATAATGAGGGTGGGTAAAGAGGTCACCAAACGAAGATCCTGGGAACAACGACACCCCGACGCCGTGCGGGGGCGAGACCTGAAACCACGCCGTGGGGGCAACACGAGACGCGCGAACACGAGAAGCGGCGGTCTCAAACAGTGTTCACAGCAGTCGACCTGCCAGTGTGGTCATGTTAATATACATGACTTGGATGATGTGATGTCGCACTCCTGAGCCTTTGCACCTTCTTCTACTTGTTCTTGTTTAGTACTTCTCAGTGGAGTGTCCCCCAAAAAAACATGATTTTGCCGCTGGTCCACGTACTTCCTGGCTATGCATGTCATCTTCATCCCAGTGGCGCCGCCCCGTGGTTTGCGCCCTCGCTTGGCCACTCTCGCCCAGTCTCGCCTGGCAGACCTTTTGCACGGTCCCCGTGATCCAGGTGTTGAAACTCTTGCCTCGGACATTGCTTTAGGTCAGACCATGCCATGAAGTACGTGTCGACCTGGAGTCTCAAAGTACTTCAGAAAAGGGGTAAAAATCTTTATAGGCAGGGCCATGTCCCATTTTCGAAGGTACTCAAAGTCAGGTCCAGGTAAATACTATCATATAATAGGCCTATAATTAGCGGTTGCGAATAAGGAAAGGGCGCATTTTGTTTTTTTTCTCGGTAGCGGGCGATATTGGGGACAGGTGTTGGAGAGGTCGCCTGTTTGAAGTGGCCCCCATTCGTTAAAGCCGAAGAACCAGGCCCCGAACCCAAAGGACTCGGATGAAGGGTTCGGATCCGCATCCTTCATGAGGTGGAGTCATGCCAGACCAGCGGAGCAGACGCTTGCAGTTAACGGTGCAAAGATGCAGTCCAGCCGCTCGCGACAAAGGCTATCATTTTGGGTGCTTCATCTCCCGACTCACCGACGAACCGTCGTACCCCTCCTCAGGTTCGGAATCGGACCCGGCACCCGGGCCCCCGTCGTCCCACCGGACCCGAAACGAAGGGTCTTGCTGTTCATTGTGCTGAACATCTGAGCGCCATGGCCAGAGCTGTGGTGCAATCCAGTTTCGTTTGGTTCGTTATAACATGTATAATAACTGTCCCCCATAACAACACACTCCTTGGGACTGGCAGCCAGTGCCTGACACCAGGTCAACCCACCGAAAAACTGATTGGCAGTCCGGACTGGCAGTCGCATGGGGTGTGTATAAGATGGATCGAGACTGGAGAGCCCCTCAAAACATATGGGAAAATCAGCAACAGTCTATTCAACAATGTCTAAACCACGGTCTAACCCATTGTTTTGGCCGTTCTCCTGTGAAAAGAACCACCCCCCCAACAACCTGTTTTTAAAACCGTCCGATCGTCACAGGCGTCTCAGTGGCTCCAATACCACACGCGATCGCCCGGGGCGTAGGTCGGACCCATCTCCTGCGGCAAAAAGGAGGACGGCAGAAGAGGTCCCCCCTGTTCCTCTTTCCGTGAGGGAAAAGACCATTCCACCGATTCTCTTCCAGGCGAAGAGAAGGGTTTAGATCATGTCACATCCACGCATGACATCTCATGACTATAATTCTCCTGGTTCTTCCAAGTGCCCTTTTGATCTCCCAGTTTGAGGTCACGAACAGGCCTGTACAAGGTCACGAACATAGGCACTCCAAAGAGGTCACTTGGAAGAAGCTAGGTATGCTTTTTTGCTGAGTGCGGATGTTTGGGGCTTCTCCGACTCCCGGCCATTCGGATGCACCGCGGCCCCCGTCGCGGCGGTCGCGGCGCCTTGGTGATTCTGCCTTGGACGGCTCGGAGAGGCTCCGCTCGGTCGAGCGTGTGGACGTTGGAACCCGGACGGTGAGCCCTTTTGGTGGTTTTGAAGCTGCTTTTGGCATGTTGTTCTTTTAGAGTTTGAGATCTTTCGTCATGCCTTTTGTTCTTGATCGCTTGGTGGAACATGGTGGAACTCTCCTGCCCTGTTTGAAGAAACCAATCCAAGTGGCCGAAGGACGAATTCGCGTGGCTTCTCCACGTCATCCCACCGGTCATCCATATGGATGGCCGCCACGTTCACGCCTACCCGGCCTAGGCCCTACGCCCGGAACTCCCTGGAAACCCAGCTCCCAAACAGAACTCAATGGTTGTTCCAATGTGGCGCCAGCTTGATATCCTTCACGGAAGTGCCTAAAAACCTGGAAGAAAAAAGACTTGAAATAACAAATACTTAACAGAACATTGTACCAGATATAAAGCCTTGTACTTCTTTGCCCTGGTTCTTCTGCTTGCTAAGTCCCGAACTGTTCTAAAGGATACGGATCCAAACACCACCCACCGGATCCGCCAAACGGATGCCTCCGGGCGGCTCAGATCCGCCCGCGTCTTGCAGGTCAGGTCCACGCGGCTCACGAAGCCCTGGGGTGGTCGGTCTGGCCGGTCCCGGTCTCCTCGTGTTTGGTTGGGGGTTTGGTTGGGGGAGGGTTCCAGGTACAGATCAGGACCGTGTGGTACTGAAAAAAGTGCGTCTGGAAACGATCTCGAAGCTCAAACCATCCAGTCCTCTGTCGAAAACGATGGCCTCTCAAAAAGAAGAAGTTCTTCTGAATAGTATGACAACTTCTTTGGGGGGGAAGGACTGTCTATCATGTGCCGTTTGCCAATTCTCTCTGCTCACTCTCTCAGATGGAGCCTAGCCAGCAGGCTCAGGACCTGCACGAATTCCAGTAGGACCAACCCGATCCTCTAAGCCCAGCCAAGCCGGCCTCGTTCTCTTGCACATGAACCACTTCCGTGTCAAACCAATCGCCATGCGTGTTGCTGTAGTATTTGACCTCGCACGGAAGATGGTTTAGAAGTACCTCCCTGAGACGTCGTGTTGATATATATGCTCGGAGCCGCTCTTAAAAAGGGTTTCTATTATATAGAAATGGAAGGGCCCGCACAAATGGAAACCTGGGTCTAGAGTCTCAAAACAGTTAAGCCATGGTGAGAGGTTCATGAAAACTCCTCTATTAAGCTCGAATCTTAAAACCCTAAGATGTCCAAAGGTGATGTTGCTGTACCATGCGGTTTAGCGTGACCTTGGTGGAAAGTGCGTGTGGTGTGTCTCTGTGCCATTGGGGAAAGGTGCCATTGAACGAGTGTAAATGCGGCGTGTTGCTGGTGAGTGTAAATGATTGGTGGTGATCCCAGTGGGCAAAATGACCAGTGCATTTTGTGCAGTCGAAATCAAAGGGGCAACGGGCTGTCCAACATGCGTTTGGATTTTGTGGGGTAGCGTTCCGCTAAATAGGTGAGTCATTACTCGGGAGAACAAGTTTGAGAAGCAATTCATGGACCACTGCAGTCATGTGAATCCGCATGTTCCTGTTCTGTGGGCGATTTCTTTCAGCTTCTTTGGACCTGGAGTCCCCATCACTGACACCGTCATGTCGACACCGGGCCGTCGGGTCGATCCCTCGATCGACCCGCCCGTCCGGTCAGACGGTTGTGACCCCGCCTTCTCGCCCTTGACCAGCTCGCCAGACTTCCAAACCTGCCACTAGCAACGGACCATCGGGCAGTGCGACTCGAACCCTTCACGATCGGATGCTACGGGTACTGGGCTCCTGGCCGTACTACGAACGGAACCACGGCCCCGAACCGGACCGGATCGGTGTTTCAGTCCGCTCCCGGGTGGAACCGGTCCGCGGGGCGCAGGTAGAGGGAGGGCCTGCCCCAGGTCTAGCGGAGGGTCGGTCGTGCGTCTGGTCGGACCTGGTCCACTTGCGGAAGATGTACTTTATTTCACTTTATAGGTCTTCAAACCATGTAAAAACCTGGTTGATCCTTTTTGCAGTTCCTTTGTTCATGTTGAACATCACAGCACCACATCATTCGCTTGATCTAGATCTTCTTTGCACAAATGCAAGCAGCACGCCCTCATTCATCCGGTTCAACCGGGCGTCTGGTCTTGCTGGCGCGCGTCCTTTCTCTCCAACTGCCGGTGTCAGGGCTTTTTGCATTGGCGTCTCTTCCCCCATCTCGCATCTGTGGCTCCGAAGGGCTGGCGGAAAGAGTTTTTCGTCCATGTTTTGTTCAGTTCTTCCACTTCTCTTCCATCTGCTGGTCTATCTGCCGGGTTACCCCAAAAAAAGAAGAAATACAGCGAAAAACACCCGCAAAGAAAACATCGACAAGGCCGCCGCAAGCCACAAGCTCTGAAGCCACAGGTGTGGAAGTTGTGAAGACTGTCCCTCGAATTTAGCACAACAGGCACAGCTCATTTGCACATCCTCCAGCTTTGAGCCCAAGTGCCATGGAGATGACTCACCAACGTGTGGTCTTTACACATGAGGGTGACTCGTCTGGCATGTACCGCCGCATGGTTGCATTCCTGCCGACGCGGCCCAGGGCGGGGGTGGTCGACTCGGATGCCGGCGGGGTGGTGGATCCATGGTGGCGAACTCCGCCACTTTGGCATATCCTAAGCTCCCAGGGCCTCCGTGGATGTAGTAGAACATTGGATCTATCCCATAACCAGTAGTGGATGATGCTTATGGTTAGGAAAGGCCTGACTCCATCTTAAAGTATGATGTTCTTGTTTACCGACTGTTGCTCTTAATGGGACCGAGTAAAAATATATATTAATATAGTTCCATGATATTCCATGATATTCCATATATGATCTATATTCAGGTGAGATCGTTTTGGCTACTACGTGTTGGTTGTACCATATTTGTTCATCCAGTCTGGCCGGACAGCGGACTATTTGGGCTATGACATCCGAATCCCCCTGTGTCCTCCATCATGGCCGTGATCAAGGTCTCAGTGGCTTCTTGCAAGGCCAGTAAGCCTTGCGCTTCCAAACGGTACATGGTGGGAGGCTCCCACCCATCCACATGCTTGGCACCACTCTCCCACTCTTTGTACTTCTCTTCGGAGACCTTCCTCATCACATCCTTCACGGCTTTCTGAAAGCGGACTTTGGGGATCAACAGCGCGGTCGTGGAGCGATAGTATCGAATCTCAATGCCCGCCACAGTTCCCAGTGGCAAGCGCCCAATCCATTTCTCTCCAGGTTTCAAGGCATTGGCCGCCTCCTGTCGGGCTTGTTCGATTCGTTGATGCAAGGGCAAGATGCCCACCACATTCTTGCGACCCTTCACGGCCACACCCTTGCTGCGCACCATGGCGATGGCGTCTCTCGCCCCATGCTTCGAACGCCCGTTGCGTTGACGCCACGCTGCACGACGACGTGGCCGAGCCGAAAAAGGCGGAGAGAAGCGAATGCGACTCTCACCTGGAGTCCATGAGAAAAGGTCCGATGCGCAACTTCGAGGAAAAAGACAACTTATAAAAAGGAGATGGTCAGATCATCTAAGGTATCATGATAGTTCTTGTCATTATGTTTTTTCTTTGTACCCTATTTCTGTGGAACACTTGGCCGCATGCTCCTGCCTTTTCTGCAATAGTTGCAGGACCTTGGCACGGAACACTTCTGGACCTGTTGTTGTTGTTGTTGCTGTTGTTGTTGTTGTTGTTCCTGTTCCTGTTGTTGTTGTTGTTGTTTTCTCTCTCTCTCTCAACAGCGTGAACACAACGTCCACGTCCACGTCGACCCGTGGTCGTGTCGAGACGGCGGACACCTGTCCAAGCGTGTCCGGGTCGGACAGGGCGCTACGAACGTAGCTTCAAGACTTTAGGAACGAAGCATCGCTACGAACGTAGCTCCTGGCCTTGACTAACTAGGAGTATATATAGCTATATAGATCTATATAGTAACAAGAAAATACTAGTTTCTGCAATTGCTAGTAGTAATGCCCTTATAGTTACTAATAGCGATGCCCTTCTTCCCGTAGCTAATTTTTGCTCTGGGAGGGAAGACTTTTATGTCGCCCTCTGAGTGTCTGGCACTTGGTGTGCCTCGCTTGCCTTGGCTTCTCGACCACCGTGTCGGCCTGGAACTGATTTAACAAGTCCGCCTGGGCACGCCAGAGATGAGAGCTTCCCACACGGCGCACCACATCGCCACATCAACCCAATTCACCACCCGGCGTGGTGGTGGCCATGACGCCACGACACACACATCGCCCCACAACGACCCGCGCTACGACCCGCGCGACCCGTGCGTGGCGTTTTTTCCCAAATCCAGAAGCCCTCCTCAAAGCACATTTCACATGGAATGCGCGTGTTTTGCAGCATGGGTCGCTTGCTCTCTCAAAGCCTTGAACCGATGAACGAAGAGATTGCCATAGAACGAGATCCCTTCCGTCAAACCATCCAAAAGGAAGCGTTTGAACATGGCAACACGGTGATACAATCCCACTTCATGGAAACCCCATCCCATCAAGAAACGATGGAACTCCCCAGCCCCGCCCCCGTCTCCACACTTGTTGTTAGCAGGTTGTTAGCCATGGCGCCCTTGGGGTCCATCTTCCCACCACGGCAGGGTACCGGTTTGCACGAGTCACGTCATTGGTCACACGAACTCCGTCACACGTCGGTCACGTCACCACCAGTCCGACAGCGGGACCCCACGCCTCCAACTGAGCCTTTTGAGCGAGAATTCCTGCGATCGCCCGTTTCGTCGTCGTCGTCGAGGTCGTTGACGCCGCACCGCCGACGCCGGGGCTGTGGGGAGAGACGACGGTAACCGGAAGCAAACGAGAACGGACGTATGACGCACGACGAAGGAGACGAAAAACCGTGGCCAAAAACCCACTCAGTCCCGCGTGGCCGGGGAAGAAGGTCACCTGAGCGTGCGCGTGGAACGTTCTGGCGCTCCAGAGCGAAAAAAGCAGAGCTCACTGTTCATCTTTGTTCTGGGTCAGTGTTCGTTCCTTTCTTTGTCGCCTGTCCTGATGAGTCCTGGTCCAAGTCGCGCTCCGGACCTGGTCGGCATTCTCTGAGGCCTCCCACGTAATCACTTGGTTCCTCAGCCTTTCGCACACCATTTGGGCCTCGCAGGAAGACGCCGGGGCAAGCCGCACCAATGGGAAGACGCATAGCAAATGCCATATCCTTTTCACAGGATTGGGCGCTTTATATACCCTAGGGCTCCAAGTGCCTCCTCGGAAGGTATTTGGATGTATTTGGACCCTCTAAACTCACCCCAAACACCTTCTCAGAAGGTACTTGGATCCCTAGGGTATAGTATGACAGATCCACAAGGCCAAACTAAGAGGAGAACAAGGGCGTCCAGCATGAGACCTGTGAGACATGTGACCCACATGTCTAACCCGGTGCCGAATGAGCCCCGAACGGTCTTAATGAAATGGCGACCAGCTGGTCTGGCATCGAGAACGACATGCAAAATCAACACCTCCAACTGTTGATTCCCCTTACTGTACCTCCGCTGTGTTCTCGCGAGGCATCGCACAAAAAGGAACCCGGTGAGCCAATAGACCATGGAAAGGCGCCGGACGACCGTCGACCGCCGGCGCCTTCCAATCCGGGCACCTTCTCCCTGAGGCGAAGATTGGAAGAAACGAGGATGAACGAAACGGGCATGAGACACGAAACGGGCATGAGATGTTCAGCTGGCCCTCCGGCCAACAGAGGGAAAGACATGCTATATACCAGGACCCTCCTGTCGGGGTGCCCAATGGAAGCCTATAGGTAGTGTGGGGTAATTAATTGGACACCCCGACAGGAGGGTCCTGGTATAGTAGTAGGCTTCCAATCATGTGTATTTCCATCTCTCAAACCAGTCAAGTTAGGCAGAACAATTGCACTGATTGGAAAGATCCAGGTAAATGACAATGAGATGTTCAATCTTTCAACATTTTCCCCTCTGGCCAGAGGGACAAAACGACATACCTGGATCTTGCAAGTATGTGTATATAAAATATGTCTGCCCGAGTCATCTTCCTACACCTTCAAGTACCTCCACAGAAACACCCCCCCGAACACCTTCTCAGAAGGTACGACTGGAGGCTTGAGGCAAAACATGGAAGATCCAAATGACATGAAGCTCGGGATGCTGGATCAGAAACGCTGCCATACCTCCAATGCTTGATCCCATGTCACTTAATTCACTTGATGTCCGGTTCAATCGTCCAATCATCCTCAGATGACAGGGTCATCCACCATACGACACCCCATGTCACTTGACACCGGGACTGCCGCACTGCCACTGTAATGGGTCCCCCCCCTGGCAGCACCCCAACGGGATCGGTTGTCCTATTGTCAGTCCCAGAAACGTCGTGTCTGGGTGTATTGGGAGAGGTATACCTATACCAGAACCCTCCGACCATCCATGACCTTCCAACGGGTCCGATAGCGATACCCCCATACCCCCACTATATACCTATATAGATATATAAGGATCTCCAAACCAAACAGCCAAACAGGATTCCGTCTAGGTACACTAGGGCAACATGGTTTTACGTGTGTGTGTGTGTGTTTTTTAAAACTGATCACATGCCCCACCAAGGGGTTTTGCTCTATTTCCCTTCTTCCAGGACGTCATTGCCAGGGAGGTCTCCACTCCAAAGAGTGCTCTTCTGAGGCAAGCGTGTCCGGGAAAAGCCCGGTCGGACTCCCCAAAAAGCCATGCGAAAACGCACAACACATCTTGCGCCGTCGGTCAGACATGGTCAGACCACATGGAACATGGCCATGCCATGTGATGCCTTTCAACATCTTTCAACTTCAGATCTGGCAATTTCTGGACTAAGGCCCCCACAAGTAAACCCTATAGGCATCTTACTAGGCCTCTTTTATTGGAATCGGTCAGATGCTCTTCCCTCTCCTTCCCCCCCCTGAACTTTTCACCTCAACTCGGCTTGGGCAACCATTGCGGGGCCCGCTCAGATCGAGGATTTTTCGTCAACGAAAAGCAGGACCTCTGTCGAAAACATGTTGAAACCTTCTCAGCTGCGTGGAATTGGATGTGTTTTTTGTTTCATGCGTCAAACCTTCGCACTTTCGGATTTTGTGTCACACCCCATGAAACCCAGCTGTGGCAGGCTTGAGCAGCAAAGATTCAGTGCACGTCGCCAAGCGACCAAAGAATCTCTCATCGGACATCTGGCGATAAATGTTTACAAGATGGAACCCCCGAACCCGACTGCAATCAGGCACCAAGTAAAACAAACGGCCAATCAAAGTAAAACAACCACCTGGACCCGACTTCAAGTACTCTAGAAAATGGGACATGTGACATGGCCCTATAAAAACGGGTAGATCTGTACCCACTTTCCGAGGTACTTGACGAGGCTCGGTTCGGCCAGCGTCAAAACGCTTGTTCCTTCGACCCCAAGCGTTCGCGACCCGCGACCTCGGCAGCGCAACGCCACCAAACGGGCGGGACCTTCGACGATCGCGCCGTGCACCGAACAGCAGCCAGCCGTGCACCGGGACTGAAGGATTGAGGATTGGAACTGAAACATCAAAATCCCGGTGATTTACTAAATGGATGAGAACGAAGGATTTGTAGGATTTTACCTTTTAGATGTTGGTATATGGAGTGCTCTGGATTGCTGGTCTTTTTACATCCAGAGACGGTTTTAAGGGTCGTTGAAGGGTCAATGTCCCGAGACGTCTCATCTGCATCGAGAGTATCCTTCACCTGTCTCTTTCCGAAAACTTGCCAACACCGGCCGTTTTCCGCTCTCTGAATGCCACATAAACATACCAGGACCCTCCTGTCGGGGTGCCCTGTCTGGAAGCCTAAATAGGTAGTCCACTGGGTAGTCCAGCCAGGACACCCTTGAACTTGATTTGCCCCACATCCATCGATCCCAAATCGGCTCAAACGCTGCGGCGAAACCAACGGACTCGACGGAATCTACGGTCCAAGCCGCCGAGTCTGCGGCAGACACAGCCTCAGGCGGCCCCGTTCCAAGCGCCGAGAGAAGCGACAAAAGCACCTGGAGCCTCGTCAAGTACATCGGAAAATGAGTACAAGTATGTACAAGTACCTGTTTTTATAGAGCCACCCATGTTCTAGAGTACTTGAAGTCGGGTCCAGGTATAAGATCAATGATACACAAAAAACATCAAGTGATTTGGACAGAAAACGTTGTAAATGCATGAAGGACACAACAAACACCAGTGAGAATAGTGAGAGTCGTGACGCCGAAAGGGAACCAGTCTTGATCAACTGGTGCCGCTTGAAATGTTGCAAACGGAGCTTGTGAAAACCCGCCCGCGCTGTGCACAACAAAGAACCTACAGTCTACACCCTCGCCAGCAACTCGCTCACTTAAATGCTTTGTTTTTCACGATTTGACGAGCCGAGCCTTGACTGGTTTCGTTTCCCGAGACATTCATAGCAACTTGTTGCGACCTGATTCACGGTGGGCAAGGACTGGTGCCTCACCCGCAAACGTGTGGGGAGGGAAGGTCGGTACGAGTATGACCACATCGACGTTTTTGGCGGCTACGCGTCGATGCCGGTGTTCATGTCATTGGTTCTTCGCTGGAACGGCCCCTGCCGTAGATGTCGGCGAATTGGAGGGCCACGAGTGAGTTTTGGGGACGGCGCCGGAAGCAAGTCGAATCGGGCGCAGCAACTCTCCCCTTCACTTTCTTCGCCTTGAGGCTTTCTCCGAGATCCCCGAGGCTTGCCACTGTGAACTGAACTTGCAAACTGACATGCAAAGCCAGTTTGCCTGACACATACATCTGGACGAATCCTCATTAGATCGCTAGGGTGCGATTCGATGCCTTCGATGTCCTGAACACTCGCCATGATACGATTTCGTCTTTTTTGCGAACCATGCGCCATGAGCCACCGTGATGCCATTCACCTGGCCCCCTCTTTGTTGTCCAGCAACTCTTTCTCTCCCTGCTCCTTCCTCTCTGTCCATCAGCATTTTTTCGGAAACACTGCCAGCGCCAAAATCATGCGTCCCTGCGAACCCTTTTCCAGTGCCCAGCCACAGCCCCAAGGCCCCCAAACCTCTACAAGTACTGATCCTATACTTTACACTATCAACTTGGCCGGCTATTAGACGTTGAAGTCGATCTTCGTTGAGCGACTTGGGGAAGTCGAGTTGTGGGGAGAAGGACTGGGAGAAGGTCGAGGAGAACGTGGAGTAGCCTGGTAATGGGTGTCCAATAAACTACCCCGCACTACTTAAGGATCTCCATTGCACACCCATTGGATGGTCCAGGCTACTCCGCGCCGTTGATGTCCATTTGTTTCTCTGTTGAAGAGAACCGTCATGCTTCACTCTCAAGTTTAAACTCTTTCCTGCGCTTTTTTTGAGCTTCGCTACAGCAGTACACCGCTCTTGGCTCCTGGCAATCCAAGGCAGCACCTGACACATCCGGAAGACGCAAATCCGGGTGACGCAAACGTCCAGACGCGCCTGAAGGGCAACGCCGAAGGTGTCAGAAATGCAGCAATGCGTGCAAGTCAAGACCATGCCGTTTGGTTGATTTAATTGATGAAAAGGCAGAAATTCTGCACAGTTGGAAGATTCAGGTATAGGCCAATTACTAAGGCCATATAGATGGCTACGTCATTGGACTCCAACATCAATTGGCGAACGTCAGACACCCCCCTTGCCTTGAACACCATCGATCATCTCCGGCCATGGCATCGAACCGACTCAGCAACTGTGCCAATGTTGGAGTCATAGCTTTGAGGTGAGGGTTCCGGGCAGATAGCAAGCTGGGTTCCAGCTTGAGGTCACATGGGGTTCCAGTTAGGGTCCAAATCCTGAGAGAACAAGAACTGATGTGCATGATGCCAAAATCACTCTTCTTTGAAATCGCCCCTGCTCCCGGCAAGGCATCTGGTCTCGTCGACTCGAGTCGAGCCAACGCCGTTGAGCGCGGTGTCTCTCTCACGGTTGGCGCGTGTCGACGTGATGCCGCCGGGGGTCTTCCACCTCAACCAACTGAACCAGTGAAGCAGTGGGCGAGATCGAACCCGAGGTGCATACGCCTACGCAAAGAGACCCATGGGCTGGAACCTGAAAAAAACACAACAAATATCGTCTTCCAAAGGGTCCATCTTCAGGTTCCATGTCCCACACTATACATGTATCCTACATATATGCCGCCCCAGAAAGACCCCCAGTCCACCACCCCTGGCCGTTTTGAAGGCAGTCCGACATGGTAGTCTCATGGAGTATTTGGGTCTGGGTCTCTTGAAAAGCGGCTTCGGGTACCGGTGCACCCCCCGAACGGACGGTCCAGACTCCGAGAACAGCGATCGCGACCATGCGGTGCGGTGCGCTGCATCGAGGACATCGAGGGAGCGTGTGAGTGGAGCAAAAGGTCGGGAAGATCGAATTGAAGACAAACCATTTTGCAGTACAAACTCCTGAGCACGAACAGTTGCGAAAGCGAAATGCAAGGACCATGGTGACCATGACCGATCTGGAAGGCAACTGCGATTGCCCGACGGGTTTCGGTAAGGTCACACATGTCTGACACAGGGTCATCCTGTCTGGGTGTCGCTAGACTACCCTACCCTGCGTAAAAGGGTCTCCAGACAGGGCACCCGGACAGGAAGTGCGAGGTATACGATGATATCTGAACTGCCCTCTGCAAATTCAAACATCGATCGTCTTCATCCTGCTTGTTCCTTTTCCTTCTTGACATCTTGGTTTGGTTCCTCCCCGCAGCGTCTCTTCGTCAGCAGCGTATAGCAGCGCTTGGGCGCGGTGCTGGGCCACATATGAGCACACGATAGATGGCTGATGGGACATCGGACAATCTTTCGCTACAACTCCTGCCTAAATTATATAGCAGGGGACCCAAAAGTCGCATGCGTTTTTTGTTGCGCATGTTCAGCCAAATCAACATCAACAACTACATGGCTTGCGCGACACTTTCATTATTGACAACATGTAGGAAGCGGGTGGCCAGCAGTTGTCTTCAACCCAGCTGCTTGAAGATGCGCAAGATGACCGCATGCCGGGTAGGCCCGGCATCAAATCTAGAACATGCAATGGTACAAAAAGAATGCGACAGGACAACAACCAAGGAGGATCATTCAAGCTGTGGGAAAAAAAGGCTCTCTATTGGGCGGATCTGCGCATTTTGCCGCGTTTCGTTTTGCGGGTGGGTTTCACGTCTCTGGCGGCCTGTTCTGTCTCTCCTCTCTTCTTTGGGATTCGGGTGACACGGCACGCATATCCCTGGCTTCATGAAATCACCTATGAACCCCCTCCGCTTTCTGTCCGTCAACCCGTTCTTCCTGCACCTCGTTCGACAGGGAGGTTCCCGCGTTCGGTGCACCGAGCGCCATCCATCAATCGTTTGGTGCTTGACTTCATGTCCCAGACACGACCTGTCTGGGACTGCCATAGGACTGCCGCCCCAGAAAGACCCCCCCTGGCACCCCAACTGATTGGCATACCTGGACCCTCCAAAGTACTCTAGAAAGTGGGACATGGCTCAAAAAAACAGGTAATACAGTATATATAGATGGAGTGGCTGGGTTCGGTACCTTGACTTCATGTCGGATTCCAACTGCCTAATTGACGCCTCGACTGGGAAACGCACGTGGAACCTGGAAGGCCATCGGTGGCGCCTTCCAATTCAGGAAAATCGGCTCGTGTTGGGGAGCCTCCGGCCCCACAGATTCAAATCAGTGGTCCAGAGCGAATCATACAGAGAAGGATCTGATTGAAACCATCGATCTTTGTTCTTTAAACAAATTGCAATTTCACATCATCTTCCCATGCCCTTTTCAAGTTCAATCCACCAAAAACCACCAAACTCTGTCATGGTGCTCGCTCCACTACACGACTTTGCACAAAAGTTGAACGTCAAAGCGGCCAGTTGACTTCCTCACCTAGCACGCACGAGAGAGGCAAGTGTCAAGAATCACAACTGCTGGACGTGCGGTGAACACAACTACTGAGATGGGTGGAGAGTCAACAA